ATATGGTAAAATCTACTGCACAAATGCACTACAGAAAACCATTGACTGCCTAACAGACAATCCAGGACAATTGAGACCCCTGGCATAGTGTATTGATCCACTTTTGTTATTTTTTTTTCAAAGTCTGGTGGTATGAGCACATAAGAATCTTTCCATTCTTCTTCAGGACCACCACTATCAGTGATGCATAGGGTCTACTAGATTCTATCCTTATTCATCATCAGGTTCTCAAGATATTCTCTGTCATTCACAATAGCCAAAGGAATCTTTATGGAGCTTTCCCAAAATGATCATGAGTCAATGATTTGGATTTTTTGGGTTGTTCCCTGTGTACATTCCACATCCCACTCATGCAGTGAGAACACACTTGTTTTCTTACTTCACTTCTGCCCCAGCCACTCCTGGGAACTGGCACTAGAAAATCCCTAAAATCAACCAACTTAGTGTCTACTTCTGTGGAGCATGCCCTTATGATAATCATCATTACCATTTGACTCAATCCTTCTGTGTGCATCTGTACATACTACATAGATTGTCAAAATGTCCGTGTGGAGTTCCAGCATGTTGCTTGTAATATTCAGCTGGTATTCTGAACAGACTAGAATTAGTTCCCATTAGTGCTGAAACTCTATCAACACCTAAAGAGTCTGGACAAACCAGGGCAAGAATGTCCATTATTTTGTTGACATGAGCAATATTTTTAGGAAATTCCAAGACCATTCCAATGTATCCCAAACATGGATAGATTTTTTTTTTTTACCACCCAGTCCTCCAACTCCAAAACATACAAGAAGCTATCTAGGTAATTTCTCCAAATGTCTCTCAAAGAATGTCTGGAATACGACGGTCACCCGTATTCCATTGTACAAGACAGAAATACAATCCATAATTCCAGTTTTTACAGACACTTCTGTTCAAGGTCTTATGTAGCAGACCAAAGTGCCATGTAATTCAAGTTTCCCATGTTTGTCTTCCTCATAGATCCTTTCCTGAGAAAATTCTCACCGTGGGCCAGTGACATTTCTCTGTCATAACACACCTAAATCCTGTATTTGCCATCAGGTGGAATTTTGCTGCTACATCCACTGGGTTTCTCCCCCTTTCACATTCAGAAGAGGTTTTACTGATGACTCAGGGGAACTAGGCCTGCTCCAATAATGCCATCTATGAGGTTACATGGATCTGTCTTCCAGTGACCTAACAGATTTGGCATTGGGTTGTCCCCTGGATGATACATTGACATCAGCTATGGCTGATATCTTGCCCGAGGGAGATAGCTTCCTTTGAACCTCTATAGTCAAAAGGAGGCAAACTTTTGACTGGTGAACTATATAGCCTCACCATAATTAGCATATTTGTTATGGTTGGCCAAGGTTTTTCCTTAACCTCTTGAATAAGTGAGAACTCAAACATATTTCCAAACTTGATCATCAAATTGTAGTACTTTATTGTTCCCTTCACTCATTAGAATGACAATTTTATCAAAGGGATTCTCCACCTCACATGGAGTGATGTGATAAGCCAATGTCCAGTTAGAATTTTGTTTTTGCAAACTTGTTATGATTGCATGACTCTGACAATTCACATAGCACATCCTTATGGGCTTTTCCTAACCTCCTTTCTAAGAAGAATATCCCATTGTCCTTTAAAAATTTTTTAGCACCCCCATTCCCATACACAGAATCTACTCCAAGTACCAATCTTTATATGCACCAGTATTTGCAAAGTGGCAATATTTTTTTTTGCTAATGATATTATTGAGAAATCACAATGTTGCTCCATAATGCCAATATTTAACTAGTTACTAGATAATTATACACAGTTGACCAAGTAATTTAGTCAAATACGATATAGCTCAGCAGCAATAACAAATGTCAAACTTAAGCACGCTCAAACAGTTGAGTAATAGCTATAATAGTAGAAGCAGTCACAGAACAGGGAGCATTCTCATTTGTGGCACCAAATACCAAACATGACTATTCATAAATGCTTAGATAGTGCCCGAGGGTGCCATTAGATAACATTTGAAAACAAATCAATTCCACAACCAGGAGTATCCTGTCTCAGAAGAAATACTCAAGAAGTGGAGCATTCATGACAACTGATATGTGAAATTTTCCTCAGAATTAGCCACTATTTGGCTTACATCATATTCCACTCAAGTGATAAAACACAATAATGATGATTTTAAAATTTAAACAACAAAATAGGTTTAAAATGTCAAGATGAGAAACAAACCCTGGTAATATTGATATCTTGAGTTCTTAGGCTGCATTGGGGAAAAAAGAGAAAAGAATTGTTCCCAATGAGAAGCCCACGATGTAACCTTTTGCTTATGCCCCCTTTGAAAGAGCAGAACTCTCTAATAATGCGCTAGGGTTTTATCTGCTAGACCTGTACTAAGGAAAGCCTCTCTCTGAAGGGGTTCTCACTGCTTTCCCACCCTTTGGTCTCAAAGAAAGGACGTGAGACAACTTAAAGACAAGGTTGGTCACAGGTGTTTAGAAGATTAATACTAAAAGTCTGGCAAATGTAGACTTCTAACACAAAAAAAATTAAAAACCACATACTTAAGTGGAAATAAGTCAGGGATTGTGTAAGGACCGTCCTGTGCTCCTATCAGTTTTTCCCTCATCAATCTTGCTACTGGAATGAGCACCTGACCAAAAAATCACAACCCCTCCCCCCCAAACAACAACAACAATCCATAGTCACAAACATCTCCACTGGTTCACACAGTACTCACTTTCTAGAGCTCAACAAAAAGGAATTGCAGGTGTCCTGGTCACCAGCTTCCATGATGGTTTCACTGCTTTCATCATGCATCCTTTTCTCCTTCTCTCTCACTTACTAGCTGTGTGACTCTGGGCAAGTCACTTAACTTCTGTTTCCTTAGTTTTCTCAACTGTAAAGTAGGGATGATAACAGCACTTACCTCACAAGGTTGTTGTGAGGATCAAATGATGTATTTTTGAAAATTTATTTAGTATTTTATTTTCCCCCAGTTACATATAAAAACAATTTTTAATATTCGTTTTTAAAACATTGAGTTCCAAAATCCTTCCCTTCCTCCCTCCCCACTCTCAGCGCCTCCACATAGACAAGGCAAGCAATTCTATATAGGTTATACATGTGTAGTCATGCAAAACATTTCCATAATAGTCATGTTGTGAAAGAAAACATAACCCCCCCCCCAAAAAAAAACCTCAAGAAAAATAAAAAAGGTATGCTTCAATGTATAGTCAGACACCACCAGTTCTTTCTCTGGGGATGGATAGCATTTTTCATCTTTAAGTCTTTCAGAGTTGTCTTGATCATTGTATAGCTGAGAATAGCTAAGTGGTTCACAGCTGATCATCTCACAATATTGCTGTTACTTTGTACACAGTACATTTCACTTTGCGTCAGCTCATGTAAATCTTTCTAGGTTTTTCTGAGAGCGTTCTGCTCATCCAAATGACATATTTGTAAAGCACTTAGCACACATAGTAGGTGCCTGACACATAGTAGGTGCTATCTAACTGCTTATTCCCTTCCTCCTCTCCTTTCACATCCCCCGTGATCCTCTCTTACCTACTGTCAAAGGTCTGCTTCCCATCTCTTTCCAAGGATGATGTTGCCCTTAGTTTCCTCTCTTCCAAAGCTACAAATCACAGGAGGTTTTGTGGCCAGCCCACCCCTTTGCCTAGGTGATTATACATATGAAGGTGATCTAATTTTTAAAACCCCCAGAATTTAAGCCTAGAAGACAAGTTGGAAGACACATTTAGGAAGACAAGCCATCATTCATGATTAGTTCCATATCATAAGTGATTCCTGTCATTATTTACAGAATGGAAAGACATCTCAAATTGTGCTTCCCATGTCATGACTGAAGCTATGACTCAGAGGAAAATGTAGTTTGAGGAAATAGCTATAGGTATCATGCTGGAAGTTATAGGGAGGTAAAGGAAACAACATAGTTAAAATGGCTTCAGTTGAGTATGTGTGGATGTGAAGATATGCCTTTACATGTATAAAAATAGACACGTATGATGTCTGCACATAGATGCCATTGGGAGAAAGTTCATGAACCATAATAAAAGGACACAAAAATTTAATCTCTTCTCACACAGGAAAACCTAATGAGTCACTTAAAAATGTTTGACATCCCCTACACAGGAAATAACAAAGAGAGTCAAAACTCTATATGATCTGTTAAAAGATTTAAAGAGCGGAGGAGCATACAGCAGGAAGATAAAGAAGGCTGGAGCAAATTAGGATTTTGAAAAAAAATCACAGAAAGGGTCTGAATAGGATGAAGCAGGAAGTTTTGGAATAAGTAGCATGACTGAACAAGGCAGAAAACGGGTAGTCATCTCCTAGGATATATATTGAAGTAATATATTGAAGATATGGATCTGAGGTGGATCAGGGTGGCAGCAAAGATCTTTTTCCTCTTGTGATTTCCCAGATTAGGATAAGTACCTGAGCAAAAATTATATCTGAGGTCAAGTTAGGAGTGTCTATAGAAAGGTAAGTTTCATCTGGGAAGCCAGGGAAGTGGGAGTATGAATTTCAAGAAATCATATCTGTTTGGAAAACCCCAGACATTGTGTGACTGAGGAAATTTAGAGGATTTCCTTCCCAAGGTGAACTTCTTGATGGCTATTTTATTTCAGTGTGTGTAACCACTTGGGTCATTTCACTGTAATAGAGATCTCCTGGGGAGGAACTCCTTAGGCACCAGTTCACAAACTTAGGATCTTTGAGAGGTGACCAGAGTCACTGAGATGTAAAGTGACTCACAGACATTATGTATCAGAGGTGAGACTTGAAAGGAAGTCTTCTGGACTTGGAAACCAGTTCTCAGTCCACTAAATCATATTGCCTCTCTAACGATCTTAGAAGCATCTACTTTGAATATAGCTTTCCCCATAAAGGTCACTTAAGATATTTTTAATAATGTAGGGATATGAAGTTTTGATTTTTGACTGAACTCTTTCCCACACATCTATGATTTATTGGTTTTTCTTTCCAATGTGGAGTCTTTGATGAGAATGAAGATGTGACAGCTGAGAAAAACATTTTCCACATGCATCACACTGATAGGGTTTCTCTCCTGTGTGGACCCTCTGATGGACATGAAGGTTTGACGTGGTACTGAATCTTTTGTCACACTCCTTGCAGTGATAGGGTTTCTCTCCTGTGTGGACTCTCTGATGAATCTGCAAACTTGAGTTATTCCTGAATTTTTTGTTGCACTCTTTGCATTGATAGAGTTTCTCTCCTGTGTGGATTTTCTGATGGGTGTGAAAGCTAGAATGGAATCTGAATCTTTCCCCACACTCTTTGCATTGATAAGGTCTCTCTCCTGTGTGGACTCTCTGATGAGCCTGAATACTTGAGTCATTCTTGAATCTTTTCCCACATTCTTTGCATTGGAAAGGTTTCTCACCTGTGTGGACTCTCTGATGAACCTTTAAGTTTGAGTTATTTGAGAATCTTTTCCCACACTCTTGGCATTGAAAAGGTTTCTCTCCTGTGTGGACTTTCCAGTGAGCATGAAAGCTTGAATTGTTCCTGAATCTTTTTCCACACTCTTTGCATTGATAAGGTTTCTCTCCTGTGTGGATTCTCTGATGAGCACGAACACTTGAGTCATTCTTGAATCTTTTCCCACACTCTTCACATTGAAAAGGTTTCTCACTTGTGTGGACTCTCTGATGAACCTGTAAGTTTGAGTTGTACCTGAATCTTTTCCCACATTCTTTGCATTGAAAAGGTTTCTCGCCTTTGGGGACTCTCTGATGAACCTTTAAGCTCGAGTTGTTTCTGAATCTTTTCTCACTTTCCATACATTGAAAGGATTTCTCTCCTTTGCGAATTTTCAGATGAGCTTTTAGTTGTGACCGTCGACAAAAACATTTTCCACATGCGTTACATTGGTAGGGTTTCTCTCCTGTGTGGACTCTCTGATGGGCACGAAAGGTAGAGTTGGCACTGAATCTTTTACCACACTCTTCACATTGATAGGGTTTCTCTCCTGTGTGAACTCTCTGATGATCATGAAGATGTGACAGCTGAGAAAAACATTTCCCACATTCAGTGCACTGATAGGGTTTCTCTCCCGTATGGAGTCTGTGATGAACACGTAAGCTAGAGCTGGTATTGAATCTTTTGTCACACACTTTGCATTGATGGGATTTCCCTTCTATGTGGACTCTCTGATGAGTATGAAGATGTGACAAGTGACAAAAATATTTCCCACATGTGACACAGTGATAGGGTTTCTCTCTTGTGTGGACTTTCTGATGGACAAGAAGGTTTGACTTGATACTGAATCTTTCTTCATGCTTTTCGCACTGATAGAGTTTCTCTCCTGTGTGTATTCTCTGAACAACTTGAATGTATGAAGCTGGATGAAAATTTTTCATCTCTTTACTCTTATTGGGGTTCTCTCTTATATGGATCCTCTGATTAATATGAAGCTTTGAAGTATCACTGAATCGTTTGTCATACTCTTTATAATGGTTCAGGTTTTCTTCCATGTGGACTCTCTGATGAACATGAAAGCTTGAGTTGTCACTAAATTGTTTACTATGGTCTTCACTTATGTAGAGTTTCTCCATTATAAGGCCACTGATATTTATAGAGTGAGTGCCTGAATAATTATTTCCTTCAGAGATGTCCTTGGTAGAATTTTTCTCCCATCTGATTTCTTTGGCAGGTAAACTGTTAGAATTTTGAAGTTGATAACTGCTGAGAGGTCTGATGTCTGTGCCTTCTCTTTCCCTAAGATCTTTCACCTGGCTATCTTCAAAGATTTTCTTTCCCTCGGACCAAAGAGCAGCTTGTTGGGCTTTGTCAGATGAATGTGGATCTGGTAGCTTCTGTGAATCATTTGACATGGGATGAAATTGTATTCCTTTTATGTCATGTGTCACTTGTTCCTGGATTGAAAAATCACCTTTATGTATTTCAGATAGCTGTGCCTCCTTTACATGAATCTCCCTCCAAGTGTTCTGATGGGGACCTTTTTCCAAGTCTCGCCAAGGGACATGCTCAATATGTTCACTGTTGCCAGTAATTTTATATCTAGGATTCAGCACACTGTGCTCAAAACTGAGGTGATGCAAGGAGAGGTTTATTTCTTCAATGTCCCTAGAAATTTTCTCTTCAAGATTCATTATGCTATTTCTCTTGGAAGCAAAAGTAGTTGCCATTTTCTAGCTTTGGCTGTGGGGATATCTTTGGATTTCCATATAATTGACTGCTCCTGTATAGTTTATCTTGGATTCTTCATTCCAGTCTCCTGAAATCATAAAGAAACAATTCATATGATAAACTTGGAATGATTTTATTCTGAAACTTCCAAGAAACACATTAGGGTCAGTACCATAGGAAGAAGGTCAATATTAGTGCTAAACCAATTCAAATTGATCCGATTCAACAACAATCTATTATGTACCTAAAATGATCAGAGTACAGTGTTTAGTTCTAAGGGAAATACAACAATATAAAAAAATTCAACCTTTAATTGGCTGGCAATAGGGAGCCAGTGAAGGTTTGGGGACGTAGCAATGACGTCATCATATGTGTTCTGGAATAAAACTAAGCAAATTATCATGCACAGTATGGGTATGATGGACAAAAGGAAGATCTATTATTTAAAGACAATAGCCCAAGAGGGTAATAGTGAGGATTTTTAACCATTTGGTTATAACAGGAATTAGAGAAAAAAATTCAAGAAAGAATTAGTAATAGTTAATAGGATATATGCCTGCTTATGGTCATTGTAGGAGAGAAATGGCCTTAATACACAATCATTTGTATAACCACGTATAAACTGGATGAACCAAGGAAAGAATCCATACTACATCTCAAAAGCACTTGATGCTATACCCAATTCCCTTCTCCATTACCATTGTTGAGCGATAAGGGGTCTTTTTCCAAGATGACGGTTTCCATGGCTCCTTCTAGCTCTGATATTTTAGGGGATAGAAACGTGGAATTCATTGAATGGCACCTCAGCTCAGCCTCAATTTCAGTAACAGTAGAATGAACCATTCTCTATGACTTTGGGCAAATCGTATTCCTTCCCTGAGGCCTCAGCTTCTCTCTCTGTGAAATCAAGGAGTTGAATGAGACAGTTCCTAAGGCCCCTTCCTGCTAGAACTTGATTTTTGGAAGGGTTGAGGGACTGCCTTAAAGCCCTCTTTTAGTTCCTCCCCATATTCATGATTCAGTTTGCTATACAGATGAGTTCTTCATTCGGCACCCAAGGAGTACATTTCTTATATACTAAATATGAAGAAACAGAATATTATTCTAGATTACTAGGTGTTCCAGGATGAAAATATCTAATGATCCTCCCCAGCAAGGACTTTTTTCTGTCCTGGGATATCTATCATTCCCCACGGGGTGATGTTCACTGCCCTTAAATCTTCAGAATATGGGTGTGTTGCGTGCTACTAGATCTGAGGATAGTTTGTGGTTCTTAGACTAGGGACGACGAGACCCTAGTTATGGTTCTGCTTCCCCATTTTATCTCTCAGAGATAAAAGAAGGAAATGGCAAACCACTCCAGTCTGTTTGCCAAGAAAACCCAAATGGGGTCACAAAGAGTTGGACATGACTGGAAAATGACTGAACAGCAACATGTACGTAAGCTTCATAGAATGTCTCAAGTAGTTTTTTTGGAAATGATGTATTACAAATTAACATTTAAAAAAAAAGGAAAGTGGTTGATGCAAACCACTGAGTTGCTACCTTGCTCTCAAGTGCCCAAAGGAAAAACCATATACTGAATTTGTCCCAGTTTCCCATTCTCCTTTATTTTCTAGTATCCTTAGCAAATAGCAGAAACTAAACCCAGAAATGTATCTCAATGAAGACATTTAGTTTAAAGAACTGACTTGGAAAATTTTGAATGGAAAAATTCCTAAAAATTATGGGAACAATTTTGTTGGAAAAGCATGTGTTTTACCTGGAAAGACTCACACAAACTGATGCACAGTGAAGTGAGCAGAACCAGGAGAACATTGTACACAGAAACAATAATGTTGTATGATGAACAACTGTGAATGACTGGTATTCTCAGCAATACAATGAGCCAAGACAATCCCGAAGGAAGGAAGGAAGGAAGGAAGGAAGGAAGGAAGGAAGGAAGGAA